TGAAGATTTGGGCTATTCTAGTAATTTGGTTGGGCTTTCTTAGACGGGTCAAATTACTAAAATGCTCATGTCTATGCATGGTTATTAACTTTGAATAGGAAAGGGGCTCTGGTTGTGGTGGTAGCATCCCCACACCCAGTTAAGTATCTATTTCTACTTTTGACATATCTAATTTAAAACCTTCAAAATATAACTTTTAATCTATTGAAAAAAAAAGGTACGGCCGGCCTTTCTCAATGAATTACCCAAAAAAAAAAACTTTGAATAAGGATAATTTAGGTGTTTTTTTATGATAGTTGGGGAAATTTTAGGCATTATAATGGAATTTTAGAATTTTTGAGGAGGTACCAAAATAAATAAAGGCCTCTTATGTTGATTAGGAGGGTTTGGTTGATTCCTTACGAGCCTTAATTGGCTTAACCCCCATGCTATTTTCTTTTCAAAATTGATTTTAAGTTTCCCCCATTACAAACTTTATAGATAGACATACCACATCACTATGGATGCTCCCTCCATTCTTTGCAACAAAAAATATTTGGACGTTTAATTTCCATATTTTTAGATAGAACACTTACTTGTATCCATTTTACACTTTTTTAGACCGGAGTCATCCGGTCCAACCGATATTAAACAATTTTCCATTTAGACCATGTCTATAATATTCCCAAGCCCTGTCTCAGTTACACAAACCCTTGATCTTCTTATCAAATATAGGATACCAAAAGGAATCCAAAGCACCACACTATCCTATGGCCCAATGCTTCTCGTGAGTGGCCCTGTGAGAAAATGAGGTAATGTAATTTTAGCATTCCATTTGGTAAAAACCTGATACAATTTTTCTCGCTAAAATTTTATATACTTTCTCTTTTTAAAACTTAAAATTTGGTATGGTGAATCTATAAAAATTTTGAGATAGTTTTTCTTTCTAAAATTTAATATGGTTTGTCTCTCTAAAATTTAAGATACTTCCTATCCAAAATTTAAAATTTGAAATTATTTAAAAATTTTGAGATAATTTCTCTCTCTAAAAATTCTAGGTGTTTTACTCTCTAAAATTTAATATAGTTTTTTTTTCTAAAACTTTAAAATACTCTCTATCCAAAACTTAAAACTTGAGATAGTTCCCCTCTTCAATAATTTTGAGATAGTTTCTCTCACTAAACTTTTATAAGTAGTTTATATCTCTAAAATATGATATAGTTTTTCCCTCAAAATTTAAGATATTTTCTCTTTCTAAAAGCTAAAATTTGAGATAATTTCTCTCTAAAATTTTTGCAATAGTTTCTTTTTCTAAAATTTTTTGTATATTTTTTTTCTATAAAATGTGATATAGTTACTCTATTAATTTTTAATATGTTTTATCTCTCTAAAACTTCAATTTTGAGATAGTTTTTCTCTCTAAAATTTTGAAATAGTTTCTCTATTTAAAATTTGATATAGTGTCTCTCTAAACTTTGATGTACTTTATCTCTCTATAGTTTAAAATTTGCGATACTTTCTCTCTTTAAAAATTAAATTTTACATTGTTTCTCTCAATTTTTTTGATAGTTTCTCTCTCTAAAAATTTCATGTATGTTCTCTATTTAAAATTTGATATGGTTTATCTCTAGAAAATTTTAATATAGTTTTTCTCTATAAAACATAAATTTTGCGATAGTTTCTCACCAAAAATTTTGAGATAGTTTCTCTAAAATGTTTTAGGTAGTTTCTCTCTCTAAAATTTGATATAATTTCCATATCTAAAATTTTAATATATTTTCTCTTTCTAAAATTTAAAATTCGATATAGTTTCTCTCTAAAACTCAAAATTCGAGATAGTTTCTCTCTATAAAAAATGAGATATTTTTCTCTCTAAATTGTTTTGGTCATTTCTCTTTCTAAAATTTATAATAGTTTCTCTCTAAAAGTTTAAGAATAATTTTTCTCTCTACAATTTTAAGAATACGTTCTCTCTCTAAAAAATTTCGAGATAGTTTCTATTTCTAAAATTTTTTAGATACTCTCTCTAAAATGTGATATAGTTTCTCTCTCTAAAAATTAAAATATGATATTATTTCTCTCTCTAAAAATTTTGAAATAGTTTTTCTTTCTAAAAAAATTGAGATAGTTTCTCTCTCTAAAAACTTGTATGTACTTTCTCTCTCTAAAATATACTCTCTCTCTAAAAGTTAAAATTTGAGATAGTTTTTTTCTCTAAAAATTTTGAGATAGTTTCTCTTTAAAAAATTTAGGTACTTTCTCTATATAAAATTTTCATACCTACCAAATGCTTTCTATGTTTTGAGTCAAGGGAGCTAATGCATGAAATTCATGGGCTTTAGAAATGCCAAAAACGTTTTGGTGCGGTAATGAAATCATGGAAAAGTAGGTCTTATTTCCATGATTTTGATTTTCCTGAATTTAAGTATCCTAGTCATTAAACAATCCAAACGGTGGATTTGACAATATCCAAGATATTAAGAATCCATGCCTTAAAATCCATGTATCAAAACATGCCCTTAAGCGCTTCAAAATTTTTGCTTCAACTATGTATGAAATATATATTTTAGATTTTTAAATTTTGAAATTTTTTAATATTCAAAATTTCAAAATTTCAAAATTTGAAAATTATAAAATAAAAATCTACAATTTCGGAGTCTGAAATTTTTCTTATTTCGAATACTAAATATCCAAATCTTGGGAAATTATGAACTTTGATGTTTTGGATTTTTTTTTTTTTTTTTTAATCCGAAAGATTGAAAAATAGGAAAATTTTGGATCTTTAACTTCTGAATTCTTTTTTTATTTCGGATCCTCAAGATCCAAAAATAAGGCAATATTAGAAAAAAAAAAATTAGGGGCTCCTAAGAACGGGTGTGCATGTAATATCCAAAATTTTGAATGTAATAAGTGAAAATTTTAGGTAAAATTCCAATTTATTCCTGCTCTACCAATTTTATATGTGTTATTACAACATTTTGTCAATAATTTAAAGAATGACCAAATTACCCTTTTTGGATTTTCAAAATCCGAAATATATTTTTGATTGAACAGATTGAATTTTTCAAATTTTCGAAATCTGAAATTAACTTTTTAAATTTTAAAAATTCGAAAATTATAAAATAAAAAATTTACAATTTTGGAGTATGAAATGTTTTTTATTTCTGATACTAAAAAACCGAAAGTAGGGAAATTTCAGACTTTGATAGTATGGATTTTTCTTTTTTTTTTTTGGGATCCCATATAGATCCGAAACCAAGTAACTTTCGGATCTTAAAGTTCCGAATTCTTTTCTTATTTCCGATCATGATGACACAAAAACAGGACAATATTGGAAAAAACATTCGGGGCTCCTAACAACGCATATACATGTAATATCCAAAATTTAAAATATAGTAAGTGAAACTTTTAAATTAATTGTAATAACTCTTAAATGTCGGATATATGTGTAATTTTTCCAATATCTTTCGGCTCCCATTAAACCAATCTCATATCCTTATCACGTCATACACTTTTTTAAGATATCTATTTGTGGTTCCCATTTTCTCGTAGACCAAAATATTATTTGCTCATTTGAAATAAATATTGAAGGGCTGAGATTTTCTCTGGCGACACTAGTGGCATTATGGTAAACACTCGTTGTGTAAAAACTCCTATTTTTACTCAAGTTAGTTTGAAGCCTATTTAATGCGTACAAAAACAAATCAAAATCAGATTTTCTTTAATCTAAATCGCTTCATCTTCTTCTTCCTCTCTAAGAGAAATTACGCCTTCTTCTCCTTCCTCACTAACAAAGAAATAAAGGCTCGTCCGCTCTCTCTGTTAAATATCCTAGAAACACAACCATAATTTTCTCTCTTCTTAAGTAAACCAAGAAACTCCATTTCTGGTTTGTGCCACTGATCAATACTTTGTTCCTGTAGCGAGATAAGAACGAAAAATAGTGAGGTGAACCATTTCCGAAGGTATGTACTGATTTCAAAAGATTTACTAGTTACTAATTACAATTAAATACCATGTTAACCACCCAAAGATTTTAGTAATCTGCTCAAACATTTTTGTTAAATTAAGATAATCGATTTTTGACCCGCAAATTATTACATGGCAATATATTTTTTAATTAAATAAATATTTTAAAAACTAAAATCATTAATAAAAGTTACAAAGCATTCTTCCAATTTTGGAATGAAAGCAAGGGAGGCTCCTGATACCCACATAAATCATATAAAACGAATCCAAAAAATTATCAGCATGATAAAATAGAGGGAAAAAAAAAATACAATCTATGCACTTCTTCTTTTCCTTTTTTTTATAGAAAAGATCAATGCATTAGTAGAAACTCTTCTTTGTTTGTCTAAATATTTCCCAAAAGAAGTATCAGATGAATCTATTGCATAAGGGAGGCATGCCTTAATCCCAGCTCACCAAGAAAGCAAGCTCAATATTCAAAGAATTATGTATTTCTAGGAAGAAATAATTTTTCAGAATTGACCCTCTAAGATTTGATTAAAAAGAGCGATTAACATTGAAAATTGCAGAGACTTTCTTATTTCCTATGAAATCTAAAGCGCATGGGCAAAATTGTTAATAATTAACATGAAAGAGATATTTTGTTGGTCTTAGGGCAACCATGTCTGAAATGGTTGGACAAAACGTAGATTGTAAAATATTTAGTGAACTTTCGTAATTGCAATATGTAAATCTGCAGAAATTAATTTCCCTTTTTCCATCTCCTCTGTTCAGGTTCGTGCACCAGCTTCCTACTACAATGGACTCTGTCGGTACCAACAGCTTGTGCGATGTTAAAGCACGAGGGAGACGAGTAATGTTGCTTTCCCCAGTTGTTGGCCTGAAGAAGGAAACATATTCATCCAAATTAACCTGTCTCACTACAAATTGTTCACTAGTTTACTCCCTACTCAGCACGATAACAAGAGTAGCATCATCACAACCTTTACCCATGTCCTAGACACCAGATCACCCACTCATATTTCTTGAATGATGAGTTGCATCGTATGGACATGGCTGAGCAAATTATTAATGGCATAATCGACCGTATTACTGATGAAGTATGGAAGAAATTAGAGGTCATTAACAGAGAGGGAATGGCACCCCAAGAAGCATTTGTGGTAAATTTGTTGATCGAGATTGTGACGGAGATAGATGATGCAGACTCAATAGTTGAAGAAGAATCTCTCGTCGGATACTGTGTTTCTAGGCCGGCAGCTAGGCATGCAGTGGAAGCCTTAGAGACAGTAGATGTCGGAGAGGATGAAGAAGTTGTGTGTACCATTTGGTTGTCTGAGATGGTTCTGACATGGTTGATGTGAGGGCAATAACGTGTTCGCACATATATCATTATATCATAGGAGTGCATTGTTTCTTGGCCAGAGAATAGGAGTAGTTGTCTGGTGTGCCCTTATCAATTGGGCATTACCGATTATTGAGGATTGATGTCTTGTATTCTGAAGAAATAGATTTATCAAAGATTGATGTCTTGTATTTTGAAGAAATAGATTTTTCAAGATAGAGTCAAAAGGACAACTCCGAAGGGCTATTAAAAGCTTGGAAGGCCGAAGGCCTGAAGGGCTTGATGCCCGGAGGAGTGTTTGGTGGGGTAGACTTAGCCCTGTTGGGGTTCTGGGGCGGCAGCCCCCGAAAAAATTTTGAATATCTGTACAAGGGTATTTCGATAATTTGTACCATATATCTGAGACTCGATATATATCCGTACATAGGTATTTTGGTAATTTATACGGGACGCTATATATTATAGCGAAGGGGGTTCTTTTTAGGGTTAAGGGAAAAAAGTTGATTTCTTTGTAAACAGAGAGAACAGAGAGGCGTGAGGAAAAGAGAGCTATTGTAACCCTAATGCTGATTTCTTTGTAATCAGAGAGAACAGAGAAGCGTGAGAAAAAGAGAGCTATTGTAACCCTATTCTCCAGTGCCAGTAAAGAAGTTCTCATCTCCCATGGATGTAGGCACATTGCCGAACCACATATATCTTTACGTTGTGGATGATTGTCTCTTTCTTTTATGTTTTTTTTTTTTTATTGCTTTCGTGTCTTTTTTTTGTTTCTAATCCGACTGAATAATCCTTATAGAAGTTTTCTCCTTTGGCGTTTGTAAAAAAAAGTCTATAGTTGTTTTTTCAGATTCTGTTTTTATAGATGTAAAGAGTAATACTTGTTGGAAACGATCTTTCTTCGAATGATGGAAGACCGCCATGGAGTTTGCGAGAATTTTGGAATGAAATCTTTGATCTAAGTCGGAATCGAATTGTGCCCTTGCTACGTGTTTATCGTGAAGCAAATGAGGCGCCAGATACTTTGGCAAAGAATGGTTTTCATCTTTTGTCTACTTCTATTTTCTTTCTTTGCTTCAAATATGTAATCTAAGTCTGAAGTTTAGGCAATAAAATTCAGTGCGCATGTCAAAAAAAAAAAAAACACAATCTTTGTTCGAATTGGTTATTTATCTGATATTATTGTCTTCCATATATGGTCATTGTTATTTCCAAATTCTTGTTTTGAGATATTTCTATCATAATTGGAACTACCTGAAAACTTAAGCACTAAATTATGTTCATATAACGTGGGGAATCATGCTTTGGTTTCCTAGTCTAGGATTTGATTTCCTATTTTTCTTAGGGACAAGGTTTTCTATTTTTTTTGTGAACCAAATCATCTTGAGTGCTTACACAATCCAAAATTAAGATTTCTAAATAGAGAACCAGTGAGAGGCTATGTTGTAATCTTGTAAGAGCCCTTTTTTTTCTTTTCTGACAATTTTTAGAGAGAGAAGAGAGAAGGCAAGGGTGTGGCCCTCTTTGTTATTGTTCTTGTTTATAATAATCCTCCTAGACTTCCTAATTGTACAAGAGTTTAATTCGTTTTCTATTGAATATGAAACTTTATTTTCTCCATAAAAATCATATTAAACTGTGAAATTAGTGTATAAATATTTTATATATAATTTAGATGCTTTTTATGATGACGTGAGTTTTTAATGTCACATATCCTCTATATCCTCTATTTATATTTGGAAGATGTTTATATAAATTTGAAACTTTAAATTGTGGAACTAAGGTGCACATCAAAACTCGATTCAAAAAGGTTACTGATCGAAATATATATATATAGAAAAAATATTCCCAACACCTATAGGCAAAAATGAACAGTGATTTCGTCTACCCTCATCACCGCCAAATGTTCATCGTACGGTCACGATTATCTCGTAGTGTTTCATTTTTCATTGTTTTTGCAACAAATCGGAATGATCTGAAATTTGGAACGTATATACATCTTACTGAGGTACACCTAATAAAAATATAAGAAATGTAATTAAAAAAATTTAAATTGATCAAAATGCCCCTAAAACTTTTTGGGGGTATTTTGGTCAATTTATTTCTATATAAAATATTCTTTTTGATGCTTTTCGTAGATTCACCTTTTTTTATGAACACACACTCCAAATTTCAGATTATTTCGATTTGTTAAAAAAATTGAAAAATGAAACACTTCCGGACAATCGTGACCATGCGATGAACTTTAGACGGTGATGAGGGTAGACGAAATTACTGTTCATTTTCGCCAATAGGCATTTTGTAGTATCTTTCCATATATATATATATATATATATGGAAAGAGCTGGAATTAGCCCACTAGCTCATATGAGCGTATGAGTCCAACGTCCCAGATTGAATCTAGGTCGATCTGACGATCACGGATGTCCGGTAGTGTTTGAATTTTAAAAATTTTTCTACAAATCCAAATCACTTGAAATTTTAGGAATGTGTTCATAAAAATATTTGAATCTTTGAAAAATATCAAAAAAATATTTTACGGGAAATAAATTGACCAAAATACCCCCAAAACATTTTGGGGGTATTTTGGTCTTTTTTTTTGGAATAATTTGATTTATATTTTTATTAGCTGGACCTTGATGAGAAGAACATAGACCTAAAATTTCAAGTGATTTGGATTGTAGAAAAAAAAATTAAAATTCAAACACGAAATGAGGTCGTGAGCGTCAGATCAGTCCAGATTTAATCTGAGCCATTGGGCTCATATGTTTATATGAGATATGAGCCAGTGGGCTAATCCCAGTTTTTTCCTATATATATATATGAAAAAAGAAAAGAATGATTTCAATTCTAAAACTAGTACATCTTGCAACATATTATTTGGGCCGTCTATTTTTCAAGATTTCCATGTGTTTATGGATTTGCTTGATTTGAACTATTTTTGAAGTTCAAAATTTTATAATTAGATATAAAAATAAATTTTGGAGCTATCCTAACAATTTTCAACACCAAATATATATCTCGTACCAAAGTTTGGGAGGTCTCCTGCTATAGATCAACTTTTTCTAGTTCTATTTTTTATATAATTGTTTTCATCTCAGTTGGACTTCTAACGTTGTCCATAGTGTACTTTATTTTTTTTACTTTTTTTTTTTTTTTCTTATTCTTAAAAATTAGACTTTCCTAATTTGTAATTGGCCTGGAGTAACTCAGCTCCGATTGGAGTCAAGTCCTGAGCCGTAACCTAAGCCGAATTTTTGAACCTTTACTAACATAGAGAGATATTTAAGATTTTATTTTGCCAATTTTATTGATGCTAAGAGTGTGATTTTAGTAATTACCATCATAAAAGGCTTAATGATACACTTTACCTTAAAAATATAGTGTCAACATAATCTTGAAAACCAACCTTCAATCTTCACATATGTTAGGGGTCAAAATCCTTTCTTCAACATTCAAAGAAAAAAAAAAGGTTTAAACTTTTGTCCAGGTCAACTGCCAAAAAAAAAAAAAACATAGAGTGGCAAAAGCTCATTACAGTGGAAAAATGATTTTTACCTAATATTTATATCATAATCTTATAATAAGCTATAGACAAAAGAAATTGAAACATGAATATACTTATACCAAACATTTACCAATTCTTCTATATCTTCTACCCCTTAAAAGCATGTACACTATGCTCCCAAGGAAGCATACTTTACTTCCACTCCCTCAGTCAGAAGATTTATTTGAGGGGATTCTTTTTAATTTGAAATTTTGGGAATTACCTAAGAATCACTTGATACGTATTATCATTAAAAAAATTGAAATTTGAGTCTTCAGACACTTAAATCTCAACATCTAAAATTTGGATGATCTCAATTAAACCGAGACATTATTTTTTCAAGGGCGTGTGTAATTAAGAAATTTTTCCCAATAAAATTACACATATATCCATTATTTTAAGCATTATTACAATTTTCCCTAAACCATTCACTTATTACATTCAAAATTTTGGATATTACATGCATAACCTTTCTTAGGAGCCCGAATTTTTTTTCCAATATTGCCCTATTTTTGGATCTTTAGGATTTTAAGAAAAAAGAATTCAGAACTTAAGGCCTGAAATTTCTCTATTTCAAATCTTTAGGATCCAAAAAAAAAAAAGTCAGACTATCAAATTCCAAAATTTCCCTAATTTTGGATCTTTAGTATCATAAATAAAAAAAAACCGAAACAGTAGATTTTCTATTTTATAATTTTTGGATTTTGAATATTTGAAAATTAAAAAACTTCAGATTTTAAAAATTCGAAAAATTCAATCATGCTTAGTTCATGCAAAACTAAATTTCTCATTTTCTCAACATTTTGAAAAATAACCACATTGCCCTTTTCAGATTTTAAAATTCTGAAATTCAAATTTTGAATGAACTAAGTACGATTGAATTTTTTGGATTTTCAAAATCTGAACGTTTTTAATTTTTAAATTTTAAAAATTCAAAATTTAAAAAATAAAAAATCTAGGATTTCGAAATCAAAGTTTGCTTATTTCAGATACTAAAGATCTGAAAATAAGGAAGTTCTGGACTTTGATAGTCCGGATTCTTTTTTTTTTTGAATCCTAAATATCTAAAATAGGAAAAATTTTGAACCTTTAACTTCCGAATTCTTTTTTGTTTCTAGTTCTGAAGAAAAAATTGGGCAATATTTGGAAAAAAAATTGGGGATCCTAAGAACGGATATAAATGTAATATCCAAAATTTTGAATGTAATAAGTGAAAAACAATTTAGGTAAATTTGTAATTTATTACTTCTCTAGCCATTTTATATCAGTTATTACAACATTTTGTCAATAATTTTAAAAACAATCAAATTACCCTTTTGGATTTTCAAAATCCTAAATTTATTTTTGTGTGAACTCGATGATTGAATTTTTCAAATTTTCAAATGTTCAGATTTTGAAATTTTTAATTTTCAAATTTTTAAAATCCAACAATTATAAAATAGAAAATCTACAATTTCATAGTCCGAAATGTTTTTTATTCTAGACATTGATAGTATGGATTTTTGTTTTTTTAATCCTAAAGATCTGAAAATAGGGAAATTTCGGACCTTGATGTTCTAAATTCTTTTTTTATTTCTGAAGATCAAAAATAGGGCAATATTAAAAAAAATTGGGACTCTTAAGAACGGATATGCATGTAATGTCCAAAAATTTAAATGTAATATGCGAAAATTTTAAGTAAAATTGTAATTACTCTTTAAATAACGGATATATGTGTAATTTTTCCAATATCTTTTGGCTCCATTTAAACCAAATCCGATATCCCTATTACGTCTACTCTTTTTAAGATATCTATTTGTGGTTGTAATCTTCCTTTTCTTATAAATCAAATAGTATTTGCTTATCTGAAATGAATAATGAAGGGCAGAGATTTTATCTGGCGACACTAGTGGCATGATGGTAAGATAATCTTATTATGTAAGAACTCCCATCTTTACTCAAGTTAGCTTGAGCCATTTACTGCATACTACAGCAAATCTAAACTAATTACCGGAAAATAAAGAACAAATCTGAATCAGAAATCTTTAATATAAATTGGAGGAATAATTTAGAGAGGGCACGCCACTTCCTCTTTGTCTTCGTCCCCAAAAGAAATTACAAGGCCTCGTTTCTCGTTCTTCATCTCTAACATAGATCTTTGTTTCCTGCAATCGAGAGAAAAACGAAAGGAAAACCATTTCCAAAGGCATGTACTGATTTATGTATTATTTTCAAAAGATTAACTACTTACTACTTACAATTAAATACCTTGTTAACCCCCCAAAGATTCTCAAACTTGCTTTAATAATTTGCTCAGACATTTTTGATAAAATTAGGATAATGGATTTTCAACCCTCAAATCATCACATGGCAGGATATTTTTAAGAAATAATTAAATGAATACTTTAAAAACTGAGATCATTAAAAAACGTTACAAAGCATTCTTCCAATTTTGGGATGAAAGCAACACAGGGAGGCTCTTGATAACCACAGAAATCAAATAAAACGATTTCAAATATCTATCAACACCAAAAAAAAAAAAAAGCAATCCATGCACGATTTTTCTTTTTTCCTTTTTTTTTTGTCTTTTTACAGAAAAAATTAATTCATTAGTAGGAAGTCTAAATATTTCACAAAAGGCGTATCAGATGAATCTAATGCAAAAGGGAGGCATGCCTTAATCCTGGCTCACCAACAAAGTAAACTCAATATTCAAAGAATTATGAATTTCTAGGAAGAACTAATTTTTTAGAATTGACCATCTAAGAATTTGATTAAAAAAAAAGCATCATTGGAATCACAATGATAATTGCAGACTCTCTTATTTCTTAAGAAATCTAAAGCTCATGGGGAAATTTGTTAATAATTAACATGAAAGAGAGATTTTGTTGGTCTTAGGGCAACCATGTCTAAAATAGTGGTACAAAACGTAGATCGTAAGATACAGTTAGTGAACTTTCGTAATTGCGATACGTAAATCTTCAGAAATGAATTCCCTTGTTCCATCTCCATTGTTCAGGTTCACTTGCAGGTCCACCAATTTCTTGCTACTATGGAATCTTTCCGCGCCAACAGCTTCTGGAGTGGCTCCTGCACGGTGGAACTGAAAAGCAGAGCTTTCCCCCAATGTTGACCCTGAAGGTCCTATAGAAGGAAACATAATCGTTGAAATTGATCCGTTTGAGCATGTATCGTTCACTAGTTTACTACCTCCACAGCAACGTAAGAAGCATATCACCATCATAACCTTTACCCAATGCCTAAACACTACATCAATCACTTATCATTTCTTGAAGGATGAATTGCATCGTATAGATGTGGCCTACACTATAATCAACCATCTCACTGATAAATTTTGGGAGAAATTAGAGGTCATTAACCGAGAGGGCATGGCACCCCAAGAAGAACTTGTGGTAAAGTTGTCGATGGAGATTGTGAGGGAGGTAGATGATGCAGTTGAAGTTAAGCAGCATCTCTAGTCGAAGACTTTGTTTCTAGCCGACAGCTAGGCCTGCAGTGGAGTCTTTAGAGAGGATAGATATGGAAGAAGACAAAGAAGGTGTCTACACTATTTGCATGTATGAGATGGATTCTGGAACGGTTGATGTGAAGGCGATGCCATGTTCACACAGATATCATAGGGAGTGCATTGTTGCTTGGCTGGAGAGCGGGAGTAGTTGTGCAGTGTGCCGCTACCAATTGCCCACTGCGAACTGAATAATTTCTCCTTTTGGTTTGTTTTTGGGTGTGTTGGTGTAAAAAAATGTCCATGACCTAAGAAGTGTTTTTATCTCATATTCTTTGCTATTGATGTAAGAGAAATATTTGCTGGAATCAGCCTTTCTTAGTAATCTCATCAATGTACGATGGTTGTTCGAATTGATCATTTTTCTCACATTAATCTCTTCCATATATGGTCATTGTTATTTTCCACATTCTTGTTTTAATCTATTTCTATCATAACTGGACCTACCTAACAACTTAATTGCTGGAAGCTCAACGGGAGTTTTTTTTTTTCGGATTTTTCTTTTGAAAAAATGTCATTTAATAGGTCAAAATCTTCTACAAACTATATTAAGAGTTCAAAAGACCTTAATTAATATTGGAGAGTTTGTTTCTAGTTTATCGAAAAATATCTCTAAGAGAACTCAAATTACTCTCAAAAGGTGCATACTAATATTGGAGAGATTATTAGGTACTTTTTCAAAAAATATCTCTAAGAAGTACTCAAATTACTCTTAGTAAGGTTGGGAATCCAAAACAAGCAGTTAAGTTTCACTAATCCTGCTCGACTTTAACAAACATGGGTGCTCCATTCATTTGGTTAGGTTCCATAAGTGGGTCAAATTATTAAAATACCACTTACTTATTGATGATTATCAGTTCCTAAAATGGTAATTTTCAGTATCTTTTAAGATATTTTTAATGAGGTACCTTAGGATATTTTGAGCCCCTCCCACTTTACCTGTAGCTAAGGTGAACTTGACTTCACCACTGTAAAGTCACCCAATCTTCATAGCATGCTTGAAAATAACACGTTTAATCTCTCCAATCTGCCACCCATTTGGTGACTATGTGGTCCATTTGTTTTAGTTCCACCGCAAAGGGCAGTTATCCTTCCATCGTCCGTATAGTGGACTTGACTTCCCCTTAATCCTTAACCAAAATGCATAAGCTTTGGGGACCTCGGAAATACCTTATTTAATCCTTTCCTAAATTTTGAACTCATATGCAGACCATTTGAACTAATTTTGGTAGTTCACCGCATGAGACCACCTATGGCCTCTATGACTCGAGGTATACATAACTTACCTATGTAGGCTTACCCAGTTTTAAACTCAATATTCAAATAATTATGTATTTCTAGGAAGAACCAATTTTTCAGAATTGGTCCTCTAAGAATTTGATTAAAAAGAGAATCATTGGATACATAGGAATATTGCAGAGAGTTCCTTATTTCCTAAAAAATCTAGAGCCCATGGATGAAATTGTTAATAATTACATGAAAGAGAGATTTTCTTGGTCTTAGGTCGACCATGTCTGAAATAGTGGGACATGAACGGAGATGTAAAATATTTAGTAAAGTTTTCAAATTGCAATAAATATGAGGGATATTTATGCAGATCCCGAAAACGAATTTCCTTCTTTCAATCTCATTTGTTCGGGTTCACTTGCAGGTCCACCAACTTCTTGCTACTATGGACTCTTTCCGCACGAACAGCTTAAAGCGGACGAGTGAGGTTGCTTTCCCAGTTGTTGGCCCTGAAGGCCCGGTTAAAGGAAACATAATCGTCGAAATTGATCTGTCTCAGCGCATATCGTTGATTAGTTTACTCTCTACTTAGCAAGATAAGAAGCGTATCATGATAACCTTTAAGCCAAATCAATCACTTACCATTTCTTCAAGGATGTGTTGCATCGTATGGATGTGGCCTACCAAGTCATCAATCGCGCAATCAACCATCTCACTGATAAATTTTGGGAGAAATTAGAAGTCATTAATAGAGAGGACATGGCACCCAAGGAGCACTTTTGGTGAAGTTGTCGGTGGAGATTGTGAGGGAGATAGATGATGCAGTTGAAATTAAAGCAGCATCTCTCGTCGAAGACTTTGTTTCTAGTTCGGCAGCTACGCATGCAGAGTCCTTAGAGAGGGTAGATATGGAAGAGGACGAAGAAGTTATCTGCGCTATTTGCATGTGTGCGATGGATTCTAGAAGAGGTGATCCGAGGGTGATGCCGTGTTCGCACAGTTTGCTTGGCTAGAGAATGGGAGTAGCTGTGCGGTGTGCCATTACCAATTGCCCACTGCCAACTTAATAATCGTTATAAAAGTTTTCTCTTCTGGATTTTATTGTGGGATAGATGTAAGAAAAAGCCTATGACCTTAGAATTGTTTTTCTCATATTATTTTTTATAGATGTAAGAGAAATACTTGCTGGAATCGGCTTTTTCTTAATAATCTCTTCAATGAACGATCTGTGTTCGAATTGATTAATTATCTGATATTAATCTCCTCCATATATGGTCATTTTTATTTTCCAAATTCTTGTTTTAATCTATTTCGATCATAACTGGAATGATGCTCTAGTTTTGTTGAAATAAACGCAGCCTAATAAGTTTGGCATGTGCATATGCAAGGCTGTACACGCGTTAATTTTGTTGTACACAACATGTACACAGGTTGTAACACGGTTATGTAAGCCTGAATATACAGAATACAAGTTTTTAACATGGTATCAGAACCATAGACTTATCAACCTCATATCTGAGCTCTCAACCTCAGATCTGAGCTCAGGAAATTTCAGTACTCCTTAACCTCAAATCTAAGCTCCCAACCTAAGATCCAAGGTCGGGAAATTTCAGCACCCCCTTCTCCTCAACCTCAATTCCGAGCCCTTCTATCAAGTCATGTTTCGACTCTCGTATTTACTATTGTTCTTTGTTTGGAGTGCTTTAAGACAAGTAGGTTTTCCAAGCCCTAATGTCGAGTCCTAAATCCATGATCCGAGCCTTATTCACTAATAGCACTGTCTTTCATTTTGGAAAAAGTACAGAAAAAACCCAAGACTACACTTCCTATGCAACTTACCCCCAACCTAACTTATTCTCTCACTTCTTTCCGCTAAACAAACTTTCTATGCAAATACACCCCAAGGGAAAAAAGTTCATTTTTTTTAGATGGAAATGCCCTTCCTGTACACAAAAATCAATTTAGCCAGATTAGACTTTGACTTTTGGACCTCAGTAGCACATTGCCGAAGCGCACTATCGCATTGCAGAACCGAAACTAAGTATTGCTAGACCACCCTTTGCAACTGTCGGAGCCCAGTGACTCAAAAGTACTACTATCAAACCGCCTTTTGAAACTGCCGGAGCATTGTGACTTCATAACATTTACGACCGGACCGCACTTACACAATGCTAGAGCCCTTGACTCCAGAGTGTTCCCCTGTCTGACCGCACTTACACAGTGTTGGAGTGTTGTGATTCCTGAGTGTTCCATTGTCGAACTGCACTTACACAGTACCGGAGCCCTATGACTCCAAAGTGTTCCATTGCCAGACCGCATTTACACAATGTCGGAGTGCTTGATCCACTGCCGGACCGCACTTACACAGTGTCGGAACCCTATGACTCTAGAGTGTTCCACTGCCGAACCACACTTACACAATACCAGAGCGCTTGATCAACTGCCAGACCGCACTTACACAGTGTCGGAGCCTTATTTTGGTGGGATAGAGGGGAGAGAGGCGTGGGTAAGGTAAAAGTAAGAGAGGGTAGTTTAGGTATTTTTTATTTATTTTTTTGTTTGATTGGTATTTGTATAGAAATATATTTTGGGAAAAAAAGTAAGAGAAAAAGTTAGGTTGGGGTAAGTTGCATAGAAAGTATAGTCCTGGGGTTTTTTATGTAATTTTCCCTTTTTTTATGTCCAAGACAACCTTTTTTTTTTTTGGAACAAAAATTTACTCATTTTGAGTGTTTGGGGGGGGGGGATGATAGTCATCCAAACAACCCATGAGGGATCATAGCTAGATTATTAATATCCAGGTTATTTATGTACTAAGTCCCAAATGACCCATAAAGCAAGTGGTTTTTGTACATATATGGAGAGTTCTAGAAGGGATATAGGGTTTGTAATTATAAGCCCACAATCCTATGGGCATATGGTAAAAGTGCATATAATCACTTAGCTTATGTGGGATAAGTTTATTAACCCTACATACCTTTATAAAACGGAAAGATATTTCAAAGACTTGCTTTTACTGAAATTTTTGGCAAATGACCATAAGGACATACCATCCAACCATTTTGATTTTAAGATTTATTAAATGTGAAGAGCAACCACACATCTTGATGGCATGATGATGGATGGTGGGCTAGGATCATGTCTTTCTTTGTAGCATGTGACATGAAGGGCCAAGATTCATTCATCTAGAAGAATTTCCACACTTAAAGGTTGAAAAATTATAAATATCCCCCCTTGAGCCTTTCTTTCTCATATGTTCACCTCACAAGTTTCTCTCCAAAAGCAGCACACCCTTGTAACTTCACTATCTCTTTGGTTGGCAATCCCAAAGCCTGCATCTTCATTCTTTTTCTCTCTAAAAAGCTTCTTCATGTTATGACAGGGAAGAACTCCACTGACTCTCATACTATTCTATTAATGGTGATCTAAAGTTCAAAAATCAAACCATGGATGATCTAATCTTCAAGCCTTTAGTAATTGGGTAAGGTCTTTAAATTTTCATTGATTTGTTTACTTTCCCTTTGCTGTAAATTCTCAATTGCAGCAATAGTTTTTTCCCTTTTGATGATTAGACATTTGCTTTCTTGAATCATCAGTGATCTCATTTGATCCATATAGTTTAAGGCTTCATCTATGCACAATTTGATATAGTTTTTCATGAGCATTCTCCCTTAATTTTTGAATTACTTTTTGTTGACATTTATCTGTATTTTTTATGTTCATATCAGTCACTTAAATCATCTTCTAGTCTTCTTAAATAATTGGTTTTACAAAGACAAACTATTCCGAATTTTTGAGCCACTTTGTGAACTAAGTTGAACCAGTTTTTCTTTTAAATAGCCTGATATCTCCCACGAACTTTCCACTTGTTTTTTATCTTTGGATCTCTATAAATACTTATATATTTGAAGTATTAATCAGTAGATTCTTAGCTTCCCACTTTGTTAGGTGATAAATTGACCCG